CCTGTAACCGAACCTAGGGTTTCGTAGATTGCTTTTTGGGTATTTTATTTACAGGCAAAGTTAGAGCCATTGATGGACATGGATGTAATCAGGAGGCCTAGACGAATTCAACCATGTGCTTGGAATCAATTTCCATGGACTAGAATAGATTTTAGGATGCACATGCGAATTTAGATGGGGATATAAATCCGCAGGTAAATATCCAGGGTTAAACGAAAAAGATGAAGATGTGTCCCCCCCTTACTGGCTGGTTCAAACTTGGCGCGTGTTTTTTTATATTTTCTGGCATTTTATTTGTTTTCCCATATTATTATTTTTGGTTAATCTATTGACAATTGAAGCATAATGGTCCAGTGGTCAAGGGAAGCGCTCTCAAGGCATTGTTGGCTGGAGGTTAGGGGTTCGATCCCTGCCTCCAGCGCTTTACGTTTTCCTTTGTTTTATTACGCAATCAGGTGCAAACCAATAGTGGAAGCCTATCATGTGTCCTCAAATCTCAAAGCACCAGATGGCCCAAGGCCAGATCTGGTGGTCCAAGTTGAACGTGCATCATACTCCCAAGTCAACGTGTACACGTGGAATCAGGAAAAGTCAAACACAGGCCTGCATAATTGGGCCATCAAATTGCTAAACAAGCCTCCCAAAAATCAGGCCCACCTTCTAACTCTTTCTTTTTTATATATTTATTATTTCCTTTAATTATTTATTATTATTATTATTATTATTATATTAACTAACCAATTAAAACCTTTCCTCATAAAATAAAAAACCAAAAATGTTTTCTTTATTAAAATTAAATTTCAGTATTTTATTTTTGTTAATAAAATCAATTAATTAATTTAGTTTTAATTAGGAATAACTTTTAATATATTTTGCAATAATTAAAATTAGCTTAGACGATTAGGTTTTTATTAACTTTGATTAAATTTATTTTTATTTCTTTAAATACCAAAAACCCAAAAATATTTTTATTAATTAGTTAGTTCATTAATTTAATAATTAGTTTAGTTTAATTTCTTTTTAATTCAAAAATAACCAAAAAAACCTTTCTTTAATAACTAAAGGGTCAAAACCCAAAAAACTCACATTCGATTTAATTTCCTGCACGTGTGCCATTTTATTCAATATTGTATCTGTTTCCCAGAATGTAATAGTTTAATAGGACTTTAAATATTTTTACCACTTTATTTATTTTCCGCATTTTAATTTCAAGGGTTGCTTTTGGCGATGTAAATACTCGACGCTTTGTAATAGTTAGTTTAATTTTCGCAATTTAATTTCTGCAACTTATAAACTGTTAGATGTTTGGTAATAGGGAATGCATGACAAGATCGAATATTTAACCTAAAATCAACATAGATAACCATTGACATGTACAAAGACAAATTAACTGAAAACAACACACTCGCACATGCGCACTCTTAGGGTACACCTCACTTGGTTGCCTTCGAACATGGTCATTGAGTATAGGAAGTTTTAGAGGTCGCCCTCTTGTCCAAAGATCATAGTTGCCTCGAAACGGTTGCCTCAGAAAAATGATCTAAGACAATAGGGTTACCGCTAAGGCGTCCTAACATTGCTTTAGTGACTGCATGTCCCTTAATCGAATTGACCCTTAAACTCCAACGATGGTGCTACCTACTCATTCATAGTGGGATAACACTGTCTAAAGGACATTAGCACAGATTGATTCCTTTTTCGAGTAGGTAGATGGTTCTTAAGTACTTGCCCTTTCAAAACAAAACAAATTTTCACACTTACACTCCTTTTCAAAACAAAAACTCTTTTCAAACCCACAAACACAAAGAAAAGCAAAATTTGAAAACACTTTGAGCAAGTACCTAAGAGCCCGTGGATAACCACGGATAGAAAGGGTGCTAACACCTTCCCTTTCTATAATCTACCCCCCCCGACCCGAGAAACATCTCGAAAAAGGAATTTTTCTGTGCTTTTTTTTCCTTTCCTTGTTGGATAAAATAAAAGACGGTGGCGACTCTTGCTTACCGCGACATTTTGAGAAAACAAAACGCAAAACGCGAATCAGCATTCCAAAAACAGTCAGTTCTCTCCCAGCGTATCACACACCCCTTCTTCAGAATACTTAGACACCACAGAATCATTTTTGGAGAACATGTCTTTATTTGAGGAAAAGAATTCTTCTGCAGAAGCATACTCATCATCTGACGCAATCTCAGCCAAGCAATCTTCAATCACATTAATCCCATTGTAATCATCTTTATTGCCTGAAACTTTGATAGTACCATTATCCAATAACAACTGAATACCCCTTCTCACAATGGAATAACCTCAGGAATCTCTGCAATAGATCCGACAAGACCCATAATGGTGTTCTTTTTTATCATCCATGTGACAAAAGGTAGCATGTAACTGCACCAAATCATCATTCATATGGTTCACATAAAAAATCCGGAATTCTCCAGGACATCCAAAGACCATATTCACACCTTCTTCATACTCTGCCCTAGGCCTGATTATATGAACGAGGCCTTCGTCCATCATTTCCTGAAGATAAGCTTTTATCTTATCACACCCCTGTATATCGGTACTACAAATACCATAACCAGCATGGTCATGCGTATAGTAACTATACTCGCAAAGGTCAACATGAATTTTTACCAAATCTCCTCTAACCAATTTGATACCAAAAATCCAGAAGTCGCCTGGACAACCAGCAACCATGTTTACAGCATTTGCTCCTCCATGCTTTGGAAAAGGATTATCTTTCACGTTAGGGCCAACATCTTTGAAATATAAAAGGCCATATCTCACCATCTTTTGTACTTCAGATTTCAAAGGATAACAGTTCTCAACATTGTGCCCTGGTGCTCTCTAATGAAAAGCACACGTCTGGACTGCCTTATAATGCCAAGGTAGAGGTGATGGTATAGCAGGGGGTGGCCTGGTCTGAACTAACCTCTTCTGAATCAAAGCCGAAAGTAACTCTACATAGCTCATTAGAATAGAGTCAAAGGCCTCTCTCTTCTAACTGTACCCTTGATTTCCCTGAGGGGATGGTCTCGAATAGGAAATTGTGGTTGGAGTTACATTGACGATTGGAGTCACAAAAGCAACATGTTGCTGGTACCGTTGATGCGTTCTAGTTGGTCTAATCTTCCTTTCTCCAATAACAACATTTGTTTCACTTTCTTTCTTTCGAGAGAAACCATACGACGACTTCTTTGTCCCTTCATCTCTTATCAAGCGCCCTTCTCTAACATCCTCTTCCAAACGAACACCCATGCTTACCATTTCGGTAAAATCACTCGGCATACTGGCGATCATCCTTTGATAATAAAATTATCCAAGGGTTTTTAGGAAGACCTTGGCCATCTCTTGTTCACCCATAGGTAGAACCACCTAGGCAGCTATCTCACGTCATCTCTGTGCATATTCTTTGAACGACTCCTTATCTCTTGGAGCCATTGCCCTCAACTGGTCACGGTCAGGCGCCATGAACATATTATACTTATACTGCTTGATGAAGGCTTCTCCCAGATCATTAAAGGTACGGATACTACCAATGTCCAGACTCATATACCACTTCAGAGTAGCACCAGTTAAACTATCTTGGAAGAAATGAATGAGAAAACGCTGATCATCAGTATGGGTAGACATTTTCCAGATATATATCACAAGGTGGTCATGAGGGAAAGAGTTGCCCTTGTGCCTCTCAAATTCTGACACTTTAAACTTTGCTGTCACCTTTGCATTGGGCACTAGGCAGAGTTCACTGACATTCTGCCCAAATAATTCTTTTCCTCGAAGGGCCTTCATTTCCTTCTGCATCTCATTGAAGTAATCTTGAGAATCATCCAACTGGTCATATAAACCCACACTTTCACTTGGTGGAGGAAGAGGACGATAAACCCCATCATTAACAAACGGCATATCATTGACTGTAGGAGGTGCAGCATGATGAATCTCATTTCTAGCAGTAGGAGTAACATGCACCACAGGAGGTGCAGGAGTAGCAGCAGGTTGCACAACTGGAGCATCTTGAGTGTCAATATTAAAACCTTTTGGCATGAAGTTTTCAGACATTCCCCATGGGTAACCCTGAGGCATACGATTCTGAGCAACAATAACTGGGGTAACATAAACAGGAACTGGTGGACCTTCAGAAGCAAATGTTATTTGTTGAGGTCGTGCAAGTGGTGGCTGATTCTGAGTGTCACACCCCAATTTTTGACCTAAGATCCCACCTCCCATCCGTGTCATTATATAGCAAGTTTTCACAAGCAATTTGACCTTTTTTTGCCATTTCTCGAGTCAGATTTCAAAAATTCATAACTTCTTCAAATTTTGACATTTTTAGTGGTTCTTTTACATATGATTCTCCTTGACAACATCCACAACTTTTTTTTTACAAGTCAAGAGCTGATTATTTTTGAAATGCCACGAAAGAATGAAAACGTTAGAAGTCGCTTTATGAATTTAATGAAATTTGATCATGTCTTGTCCAACCTTTACCAAATCGTGCATAGCGCATATTTTTTCGTCTTTTATTTATCATTTTTGTCTTATTTGAAAAAATCTAAAAAATATGTATTTTAGTTCATGTCACTTTTTACTATCGCATTATTAGAAAAATCACAAAAATATTTATAATTAGCATTATAGTATTTTAAATTCGCAATTCTTAATTCAAAAAAGATCAAAAAATATTATAATTTTATTGGTTTCATTTAGATTTTTATTTTAGTATAGATTTTAATCCAAAAAAATCTCAAAAAAAATATAGTTAATATCTTTTCCTTTATTTTACATTTTTTTATTCTTTTTGGTCATTATAGTTTTAGCTTCTTTTAATCCAATATTAATTTTGATTTGATTCTAATTTTAATTTAATTTTTAAAATTGAATTAATATTAAAATTAAAATAAAATTAATTTTGTTTGCATCTTATTTTTATTATTATTCTTTTGTTTTGTATTACTAACAAATTTCCTTTTATCATTATCATTACTAATGTCTTTGTTTTATTGTTTTATGTCCAATAAAGTTGTGGTCCCAAAACCATATTTTTTGAACTTGCCAAACCAGTCCCTATCCCTGCATAAGTAACCAAATAAAACAGTCCAAATTTGTTGTCCGAAAGGCCCCAAGCTTGCTGCTACTTCACTCCAAAACCTACATAAAAAAACCAGTCTGCAAACAGCCTTTTTACTATCTTTGCTATCCAAAAACTTGCCCAAAATGAAACCATAAATCCCTGCATCAAGAAAGCATAAGGCAGTTGACATAAAGTAGAATTCAAGTGATATTTGGCTCCAATTTTCCCTCCGATTCTATCATACATTCACTATAAAAACATAAGCAAATGGTGAAGAGCAAGGGGGAGATTGTTGCCTAATTCCTACAATAGCAGTAGGAGAAAAAGAATAAAAATATATAGAAATCAATCCTTTAAAAGTTGCTTAATAATAGCAGAAGCAACATCCACAAACTTGTGAACAACCCCATTTCTATTCCCTAAAGGTGCCAACACCAACTCAGAAAACTTGTTATTACAAGAGTTAACTTGTTTGACAGCATCAGAAACATAATATCCAGTAAACCCAAAGTGGTTCTGGCTAATAGCTTCAGCAGCTTGAGGAAGAGTGTAATCGACAACTGGTAAATTGAGGAGAGTTATGATGCTCGCTACAACACTGGTAAAATGGTTGCCACTGAACAAATTTCCAGCACTACTCAGATTTGCACAACTGTCTGCAATTTCACAACAACAAAACCAGAAGCGAAAGTAGCCATGTAATGAATGAAATTTCCCAAGTGCACAAATCAAGCATAACATTCAAAAATCTTAGAAAAAACTGGTGCGAGAATAGAAAAAAAAATATAACAGTTGTTCATTCATCTAACCTTCTTCTTTTTTTTTCTTTCATAAATTAAATCATCAGCCACCATGCCCCTTCATCACCGATCTTCAATAAGTTGATTTCTTCTTCTTCGCCGCTTTTACTCTTCTATTTCTTCAATCGATCAACAACAAAAAAAGATGGAACCCATGGATATAGTTGCAAAATCAAAGGAAGATGCTTCGCTTCCTAAAGCGACGATGACAAAAATTATTAAAGAGATGTTACCACCAGATGTGCGTGTTGCAAGAGATACTCAGGATTTATTGATTGAATGCTGTGTAGAGTTCATCTCATCAGAGTCAAATGAAGTATGTAACAGAGAGGAAAGAAGGACTATTGCACCTGAGCACGTATTGAAGGCTTTAGGGGTTCTTGGATTTGGCGAGTACATTGAGGAAGTTTACGCAGCATATGAACAGCACAAAATGGAGACAGTGCAGGACTCTATAAAAGGTGCCAAGTGGAGCGGTGCAGCTGAGATGACAGAGGAACAAGCATTAGCAGAACAGCTTCTGTTCATCTACCATCATTAACAAAAATCTCCGCAACAACACTGTCACTTCCGATTTCTGCTCACCATATCTCCATCACAAACCACTGTGAATTTGACTCATCGCCGGAGTAGGGTTTGTCTCATCCTTTCCTCTTTTTTCATTTTTTTTATTATTACTGTTTATGAGTTTGTTTGATTTTCCGGAAGATGTGAGAAGTTGAAAGAGAGATAAGAAGATGAAATACGGAGGAGAGAGGGGAAGATTCGCGGAAGATGAAGGAGAAGAGAGAGAGGATTTAGAATAATCTTTTATTTATTTAATTAGTTAATTGGATTTGACTTGGTTTAAATGCTAATTATTTGGAATTGGTGAGAGAAACAAGTGTGGAACGGCTGCATTGTTGTTTAGAATTTCTAGGGTTTTTTTTCTTCTCATTAGGATTTTATTTGGGGCCTTGACCCACCAAACTAGGCCCAATCCGCTAGTTAATTGTTTCTATCCTATTTTTCTATTTCACACCCCTTTTTTTATAATTAACTTGTCTACATTTAAAGTAGTAATATTAGAATGATATTTTAGTTTAGAACTTTTTAGTAATTTTTAGTTAGCTTAGATTTATTTTAGTAACTTTAGAAATTTAAGTTAGTTTAGATTTAATTTAACAACTTTAGAATTTTAATTTTACAATTTAGTAATTTTATAATTAACTTAATTTATATTTAAATTAGTTTAGATGTAATTTAGTAATTTTAGAGCTTTAATAGTTTTAGAATTTTATTTGATTTAGTTTAGTAACTTTGGAATTTTTATTTGTTTTAGATTTAATTTAGTAACTTTAAAATTTTCATTTGATTTAGATTTAATTTAATAACTCTAGAATTTTTATTCGATTTAGATTTAATTTAGTAACTTTAAAATTTTCATTTTTTGGTTTAGATTAAATTTAATAACTCTAGAATTTTTATTCGATTTAGATATAATTTAGTAACTTTAGAATTTTATTTGTTTTAGTTTTGACTTAGTAAATTTTAGAATTTTATTTTGTTTAGTTTTATTTTAGTAACTTTAGGATTTTATTTCATTTAGATTTGACTTAGGAAATTTTAGAATTTTATTTGTTTTTGTTTTGACTTAGTAAACTTTAGAATTTTATTTTGTTTAGTTTTATTTTAGTAACTTTAGGATTTTATTTCATTTAGATTTGACTTAGTAAATTTTAGAATTTTATTTGTTTTAGTTTTAATTTAGTAAACTTTAGAATTTTATTTGATTTTATTTAAGTTAACTTTAGAATTTTAGTTGTTAGTTTTAGTTTAGGGACTTTAGAACTTTATTTGATTTAGAATTAGTTTAATGAGTTTATAATTTTTATTTGATTTAGAATTAGTTTAATAAGTTTAGAATTTTAGTTGTTTAGAATTAGTTTAATATTCTTTTAGAATTTTATTTGATTTAGATTTAGTTTAGTAACTTTGGAACTTTTTTTTGTTTTAGATTAGCAACCTTGGAATTTTTATTTAGTTTAGATTTAATTTACTAATTTTAAAATTTTTAATTTAGCTTAGATCTAATTTAGTAATTTTAGAACTATTTTTACAACCTTAGAATTTGTAGTTAGTTTAGAAATTTTTTAGTAAGTAATCTTAAATTTTTAATTTAGTTTAAATAACTTCTTTAGATAATTAGTTACATTCTCTTTTATTCTATTTAAATATCTTTGTCATTTTAATTTCTCGATGCCTTTAGGTCATTAATCTGTTTCGTTATATTTATTTTCTTGTGAATTTTGATTGCTTATATTTTGATGTCTATTTTATTTTGCTCGCTCGATTTAATCCAAGGGAAATGTTTTAACTTTGTTAACTTCATGTTATCAAACACATCTCATCCAATCGTGCGATACCCTCATTCATCTTTTGTTTGTTTACTATTTTGTTAAACCTAAGATAATTTTCCCAAAAGACTCCATTTTCAAACTCACACCTTTTAAGTCAAAACTTCGACACTAGGTCGTCTTCAAAAATCTCGTCTATACCCATTTAACTAAATAAACAATTTTAACCAAAAACAGATATTTCAAAAGGTTCCTGCGGAGTACCGCAGATGCATTGGGTGCTAATACCTTCTCATTGTATAACCAACCCCCTAACTCTCAATCTCTTTCAAAAACGCATCGTATTTTCATTACTTTTAAGTATTATTTTACATTGCATATTTTAGGGTTTTATTTCGCTCTTTTCCCTCTTCCCTTGGAAATAATAAAGCGCGGTGGCGACTCTTGCTTTTGCGAGTCAAGTTAATTAATAGCTTGATCTCTGATTTTCACCGCTACACTGAGCAGCCTCCAATGATTCCATCAAAGCGGACAGATTGGCCATACCGGTCTTCAAAGCAGTAACTTCTTCGCGTAGCTCGCGATTCTCTTGTTCAAGATTCTCCATTTTCTTCTTGGAATTAGCCCGAGTATTGTACCTATGAGATAACTTACTGAAAAAAGTAGAGAAATTCAGTAAAACACCTGGGTATGAACAGGAATGCAAGAAATATGTACAAGATGGTGCATGATATGCAATGCACATGATTTATTTTATTATTAATATTTCAAGGGACTCAAATAATTATAGACAATTTTGCAAATATTAAAGTACTAATACATTTTGAAATACTGAAAATCTCATTATAATAACTTCAAAATGGATTACAACTTTTTAGTACGAGTTTCAACAATCCCAAGTACAAAAGAAGATAGAATCTAAAATCCTAAAAAACAAAGCTGATGAAGATCACTCCACACGCTGATGCTTTCCCGTGAGTCTTGCAATCTGAGCCTTCAACCGCTTGTTCTCTTCTGCATACCTGTCGACAACCACTTTCCAATCACCAGAGTCGGGGAGTGAATGACTAAGTCTTGACTGAGCTCTAGAGGAAAATAAATCCTCTTGCTTCTCCATCATCTCTACAGCACGACTCTCAAGAATCTCAATTAGGTCATCCTTCTCCTTCAAGTCTGCTTGGTAAGACACCTCTAAAGTCTGACACTTATTCTTCCAAGCCTCCTTCTCCTGCTGAATCCTAACTAAGGCAAGCTGAAGCTCTTCCACATAATCTAAAACGGGAGGAGTGGTCTTCACAAACATATCACGAATAGGTGCTTCACGAGAATATGGCATCTTCAACTGAATTTCCCTTTCCTGTACCCACCAGAGGTAAGGCTCCAAAGAAACAGCTCCCCTAGGTCCCAAGTCCTTTCTACTCTTCCTGTGAATATGGCGCCAAGCCTTTGCAATCTCCTCTCTAGATTTCTTATGATCCTCTCTCTCTCTTTGAGAAAGAAACCATCCAGATTAATATTATTTGGCTTATCTCTCATCGGATATCTAAGTTGTCATCGTGCAAGAACAGGATTGTAGTTAATTCCTCCTTTTGTGACAAGAAGAGGTACATTGGGGGAAACTACCATAATTATCGACAATCTTTGCATCATGGTAAGACTGATGATACCAAACAATATTTGAATGAGTGAGGGTTATAATCTTCGGATCCCAACGTGTTCCTTCTTGACATCCCAGAAAGCATCAGACCAGGGTAGGTGAGAAATAAACCACTGATATAGCAAAGGCGTGCAGCAAATGATCATCCTTCTATGATAAGAATCCCGAAGATGAGTGGAGTAATAAGAATCTCCTAATAATGTCGGAACTGGATTCCTTATCAAAAATATCCTGATGGCATTGATATCCACAAAGTTGTCGACGTTCAGAAATAAGAACAACCCATAAGCAAGTAGAGAAAAGATGGCCTCAAAATCAACTGTACTCTTCATCCTAGCAAATTAGTGAGCTTTCTCTAATAAAAATTGAGCGGGTAATCCTCTAATTCCTCCTTTGG